GTAGTGAAGTGATTCCAATTAACGCGCGCGCATCCAAGACAAGAGAAATTAATTTTGCACATTAAAGAGAGCACGCCACGTACTATCGAGTGGCTTTCCCTCCTGATCTATAGTATTGTGCTTCTCGATTTCAATTGACTCTCTCATTTTGCGAGAGAACTTATGACTATCAATCGCCAAAATGGTTGCTTCGTCCCATTTTATACGATGGTCGTAAGTCCAAGTATGTTTAGCCATAGCAGATTTATCTTGCTCGGCTTTCTCGCAATTCGTCTTGTGTTCCTTAAGACGTACTGAGAGATTTCGACCAGTTTCACCAATGTAAACCAGACCACATTCACAAGGAATGCGGTACACACCAGGTTTCTGAGATTCATTTACGTTGTCCTTATGTGTGCAAAGAGCTCGAAACAATTTGTTTTCGCTGGAATGGTATACCTTTATACCTGCTTCATTCCTCAAAATTCTTTCGATTTTGTGTGAAGCCGGACCAATGTATGGTAGACAAACAGAATAAGTAGAATATCAGTCGTCTGTTTGTCTACCATACATTGGTCCGGCTTCACACAAAATCGAAAGAATTTTGAGGAATGAAGCAGGTATAAAGGTATACCATTCCAGCGAAAACAAATTGTTTCGAGCTCTTTGCACACATAAGGACAACGTAAATGAATCTCAGAAACCTGGTGTACGTGTACCACATTCCTTGTGAATGTGGTCTGGTTTACATTGATGAAACTGGTCGAAATCTCTCAGTACCTCTTAAGGAACACAAGACGAATTGCGAGAAAGCCGAGCAAGATAAATCTGCTGTGGCTAAACATACTTGGACTTACGACCATCGTATAAAATGGGACGAAGCAACCATTTTGGCGATTGATAGTCATAAATTCTCTCGCAAAATGAGAGAGTCAATTGAAATCGAGAAGCACAATACTATAGATCAGGAGGGAAAGCCACTAGATAGTACGTGGCGTGCTCTCTTTAATGTGCAAAATTAATTTCTCTTGTCTTGGATGCATCACTTCACTACGTTTGAAATGACGTGGTTGATGTACCGTTTAATTAAATTTCAAATGACGCGAGCCAACAGATCACGACACTCTTGTATATAAAAAGAGCGTGTGAATTAAACAAGTCACATATTATTAGCACTGATGAAGATCCGGGCTTACGGATCGAAAGCTTTGCAGCAATAAATTTACGTGGTGTTTCCACAAACAAAA